GGATGGTATTCCACTGAGAATCTGACACACAGCACCTTTCAGTAAGACATTCACTCCAGGGTTCTCGTTCTCTCTGTTGACCTTCTTTAATAAAGGACAGCTTTGGGTTCATGGAGCCGTTGGTTCTTACTGACACGTTGTTGCTGTGGAAGGCAGTGATCTTATCACTCCAATCAGGACAGAAATCTTAGTGTGGCAATCACTGATCCTTGGGAACCTTTCATGGACAGCGTTCATGAATGTTCTCATATGGATACACAACTTGTGCATCTTCTGTGGGCTTCTTTTCCTGAGAAGTTTTTCCACACCTTTGAGCAGATTCCCATCCTTTGACACGTCCCTCAAAATGTTGAGAACCAATAACCAGAAGGGTTTATTGAAACATTCTGTAAACCAGCCACAGTGTATTTTAAACGAAAATTAGAGGAACAATGAAAACAAAACTCCCTTTCTTCTTGGCTTCTGTGATTTTTCAATCCTTGCCAAGAGTCAGAGAAAGGACTTCTTTCAAAGACGCAGGGCATAGCAAAGGTGTGGCAATAGATGAGGCTGCGATGTAGCCAAGATTCAGATATCACTTTGCTTTCTGAACAGTGTCCACAATGCAGCCATGAAGTCCCTATAGAAGAACACTCCCCCTCCATTACCGTTCCGTGTGCCAACCCCAACTCTAGTGTAGCCAGGAAGAGATATGATGACACAGAGAATGTGGTAAGGTAGGTGTTGTGGTCCAATGGGTTAAACCCATATTGGATTATCTCATATTGGAACCATGGTTTGAGTCTTGGGTATTCTGTGCTTCCAAACCAGTTTCCTGTTAGTGTGCGTGGGAAGCCGCTGGTAATGGCTCAAGTATGTGTGCTCCTTCCACGCACGTAGCAGACCTGATGGAGCTCCTGGCTTCCTGGCTCACAGCTTTGGAGTGTTCTAGCCCTAGCTCTTGAGCATCTGCGGAGTGCACCAGCCCTGGAAGATCTCTCTTCATCTCTACCTCTCTCTCCCTGTCAATTTCTCTTTCAAATAAATAAATAAATAATTCTTCAGAAAGAAAGAAGAGCCAGTGTTGTGGCATAGCAGGTTAAGCCTGGTGCAATGCCGGCTTGAATCCTGGCTACTTTGCTTGCCACCCATCTTCTTGCTAATGTGCCAGGGATGACAGAAGATGACCCAAGTACTTTTATTCCTGCCAAAACATAGGAGAACTGAATGAAGTTCCAAGTTCCTGGCTTTGGCCTAGCTCAGCCCTGGATATTGTGGCCATTTGGCTAATGAATAGAAGAGCTCTCTCGCTCTCTCTCCCTCTTTCTCTCTCTGTTGCTCTGCTTTTCAAATAAATAAAGAAACAATTATTAAAAAATTTTAAGAAGTGTGCTGCTTCTATATCTTCCTATACATGTATAGTCACAAGTGAATCCAAAAATATTTACCCAGTATATGCAAAAACTGAGAACAAGTCTTAAAGAACTTCCTGCTAATAAAACACTATATGAATGCCCTACTTGTTAATTTTGACAAGTCCTTTAATACTCTGGCCTGCATTCCATCATCCGGTTAATCTGTGTGAGTCTCACTCACCCAGCCTGCTTTTTAGGGATATAATAGTTAAATAATAGAGTTAGTGAAAGGCATTAAGGAAAAAACAAAGTTTAAGAGAACATAGAAAGGCCGGGGCCGCAGCTCACTAGGCTAATCCTCCGCCTTGCAGCGCCGGCACACCGGGTTCTAGTCCCGGTCGGGGCGCCAGATTCTGTCCCGGTTGCCCCTCTTCCAGGTCAGCTCTCTGCTGTGGCCAGGGAGTGCAGTGGAGGATGGCCCAAGTGCTTGGGCCCTGCACCCCATGGGAGACCAGGAGAAGCACCTGGCTCCTGGCTTCGGATCAGAGGAAGACCTTTCTCTCTCTCTCTGTCTCTCTCTCTCACTGTCCACTCTGCCTGTAAAAAAAAAAAGAGAACATAGAAGCCTAGATGTTCTGGTTTTGATGGAAAGAATGATTATTCTGAAAAGGCAACTATGGTTGAGCTAGCAGGGTAGAGAGTTTCCAGGAAGGCGAAGCTAACAGGGAAGTTGACCTGTTAAAGGTGAATTTGGTGGCCAGAGCACAAATGTGTTCTCTACTGGTTAAGTGCATGAAGGTTGTTGTGTGGATCTGATATGTCAGGGACCAACTGTGCTGTGTGTTTGGACAGAACTGGTTCAATGACTGCTGTCAGTGACCTATGGACCTTCTGTATGCGGCTCTTAGTCTTCTGGTCACATGAGGCCTGTGGACTCCGACAAAAAAATCCCCAGCATTCACGCCCTCTGTGGGCAACCACACCCACCCTTCTATGTTAACCCTTTCCAAATGGGACTACTTCTTGTAGTGCTAACTTGCCTGTGAATCACAGAGTGAAATCTTTTTTTTTTTTTTTTTTTTTGACAGGCAGAGTTAGACAGTGAGAGAGAGGCAGAGAGAAAGGTCTTTCTTCTGTTGGTTCACCCCCCAAATAGCCGCTACGGCCAGTGTGCTACGCCGATCTGAAGCCAGGAGCCAGGTGCTTCCTCCTGGTATCCCACGTGGGTGCAGGGCCCAAGCACTTGGGCCATCCTCCACTGCCTTCCCAGGCCACAGCAGAGAGCTGGACTGGAAGAGGAGCAACCGGGACAGAATCCAGCACCCCAACCGGGACTAGAACCCGGGGTACTGGCGCCGCAGGCAGAGGATTAGCCAAGTGAGCTGCGGCGCCAGCCAAAGAGTGACATTTTTAACAATAATAAGGATGTACTACCATCCTGGGCTGTCATTACTTCATGTTATTTCTTCTTTTTTCTTTTTTTTTTTTTTTTTTAAAGGTTTTATTTATTTATCTGACAGGTAGAGTTACAGACAGTGAGAGAGAGACAGAAAGGTCTTCCTTCCATTGATTCATTCCCCAAATGGCCACAATGACTGGAGCTACGCCGATCTGAAGCCAGGAGCCAGGTGCTTCTTCTGGTCTCCCATGTGGGTGCAGAGGCCCAAGCACTTGGGCCATCCTCCACTGCCCTCCCAGGCCACAGCAGAGAGCTGGACCGGAAGAGGAGCAACTGGAACTAGAACTGGCGCCCACATGGGATGCCGGCTCTGTAGGCAGAGGATTAATCTAGCGCACCACGGTGCCAGCCCCTTCATGTTATTTCAATTATTCTTCATAATTCTCTGCAAAGTAGATTTGTTAGGAGTGGTTTGGTCTTGATTGGTACTGTCAAGGAATGGCTTTACTTTTCTCCCTTCTGCCTTCAAACTTATCACCCCTTTTCCTGATGGCAGTGTGGGGAGACTCTGTAGTTTCCTGGTGACCTTCAAGTATTAAAAAGTCCAGTTCAATCTAAATCAAAATTTAATCTCATATCTGGTTTAAAGCTTCCTCCTCTACACTGCTGAGAGTTTTCCAGATGCCCAGGTTCCAGGAAAGGTCTAGGGGTGCTTGGTCCACTCTCTGGTTCCTCCTGTTCCACCTCCCATCCTACTCAGTCCACTGCTGATGGATCATAAGGAGGCATGAGAGATCAGGGGAAGATGTGGGCTGTGGTGTTCTCAAGGCTGTTGGAGCATTTCAGAGTGGTAGATGCTCATCTTGGTTCTTCCAGCTACCATCTTTCATTCAGGCACTTCAGAAATCCTGATTTGGCAGTGTTTTAGGCTCCCCTGTGATCTTTCTCAAGCAGGTGAGTTAAGCTGGCTGCCTTTAACATAGCCCTGAGAAAATGCATGTGCTTCTTTGCTTAGCTGTCGTGGGCAGCCTTGCCCAGCACCCAGCTTCAGTCTTCTCCAGGCAAACACTAGGCACTAGTCTCTCTGCTCCTATTGTCAGGGGAACACATTTTAAGATCTCCCAAGAGCTCCATTATGCTACATCCTCGAGCAGCCTAGGACTGGCTCTCCTCTCTTCCTCTCCCAGCAAGCACCCAGCCTGCAACGAGATTTGAGTCCATGTCCTGGCAACAAATCCTCCCTCCACAAGTTATTATCCATATCCCAATAGTGGTATCCCCGCCTCATTTTGCTCATGGGTGAGTGGACACAAATCCATCCCCAGTGTTATAAGCCTCTTTGGATGGATTTCTTCTCTCCAAGGAAGGCTCTACCACTCCCCTGAAGAAGCTGTTGGGAGCACCAGATTTGGACACAGATGAGTGTTTCTTACGTGAAGTGGCTTAGCTCTTTTATTTAGAGGACATGGATATTTAGCTCTGCTCCTATCTTTGGAGTCTCAGAGCCAAAATTGCAGCTGTATTGAACATGTGTTAATATTCTTTTACACACAAGGAACAGAATTGCAAAGAGATGTGTTGCAAAATGCCCTGTGTTGCTCAGCTTGTAAAGGCAAAAGTCAGATTCAAACCTGGATCTGTCCTTTCATGCGCATTGTGTTTCTCAGATTCCACAATGTTCTTAACTCAAGTTGCCTAGGTCCCGGAGGGAGGAATCACATTCAATCCCATTTTACAGATGCTTAAACAAAGGCTCAAAAAGATCAAGAAACTTGCCCAGAGTAACCCTCTCCATTAGTCAGGTTCTCAATGGGAATCAGACAGCGCTCACAGAGGAAGCTAGTTCAAAAGCAGTTTCATAAAGGCTTAATGTAAAAGATATGGTCAGCATTAGGAAGCCACAGGGATGGTGTTGTAGTCCAGGAGTTGTTAACAGCAGTGCTGCTTCTCGTCCAACTAGAGGGAATGGGGAGGGAGAGCTGACCACCTGGAGAGGAGCAGAAACCTCTGGCTGTAGGACAAAACCAGCCCTAAGTCCCAGGTCAAGGAGGAAGCTACCTGCTTCTCCTCTCTGCTTGCAATGTTCTCTGGGGGCCGAATCCAGTAAGGACCCAGAGGGAAGCAGAACATGTTGAGGTTGTCCCCACAGGTCAGTCTTCCAGAACAGAGAGCACGAGAGTCAAGGATGGAAAGGAGCTAGTGATGGTAGAGGGCCAGGCTATGAAACTGAACTGCCTGTGGCACATTTTGTTCCCTCTGTCTCTTACCTTGTCATGTGGCTGGGACACAGGCAATGCACTGTGAATGTTCTCTGGCAGGAACTTTTTCTGTCTTTGTAAATGCTTCCCTCCTAAGCACGCACAGAACTCAGTAAAGGTTTGTTGACGGAATGAATTCATGGGTGAGGAGGGACAGGCTACAGGTCAGCTGGAAACAGAGGGATGATGTGCACTGAGATCACTTCCTGCATTGATATTTGAAAAAGACAATGAATGCAAAATGTTGTTTACATAATTTGTTACATTATCTCACTTAAACCTCACATCAACACTTCAATTATCATCCCCTGATGAATTCTCCAAGTTGGTGTAGAGACAGTAAGTGAAGCAGGACAGGAAACAGATCATCTAGCTCTAAATCCATGGTCTTTTTAGTATCCCTCAAGTATAATAAGGCGAGATCATAGAATAGGCACAACTGATTCTTTGCCCACCTCCCACTCGCTGATTTTCTCCCTTCTCCCTTTTTATCACATTGAAGAATCAAGCAATTTGTCCTCTACTATGTCCCATATTCTGGATGTGTTTCTTGTCTCCTTTGTAGTAAAGTAAGCACAGCCCCGTGTCTTTCACATGATCTCTGCTCCACGGGCACCCACATCCCCTTTGGCTTTTCTGCTGTGTATGTAGCAGCACGTCGTCCTCACCAGAATCTGAGTAGAGCCAGAACCATGCTCTTGGACCTGTTAGCTAAATAAACCTCTTTTCCTTTTCAATTGTCCAGCTTCAGAAATTTCCAATTGTCTCAGCCACAGGAAACAGACTAACAGAGCAATCTTTTTTTTTTTTTTATCTTTTATTTAATGAATATAAATTTCCAAAGTACGACTCATGGGTTACAATGGGACGGAATGGTTACATACCGTCCCTCCCACCCACAACCCTCCCCTTTCCTACTCCCTCTCCCCTTCCATTCACATCAAGATTCATTTTCGATTATCTTAATATACAGAAGATCAGCTTAGTATACCTTAAGTAAGGATTTCAACAGTTTGCTCCCACACAGAAACATAAAGTGAAAAATAATAGATGATTTTTTTTAAATGATGATGAAATCAGATCAGACCTAGTGTCATGTTTAATCCCAGTGAGAGTCAAGTTGGGAATTGATAATTTCTTTTTTTTTTTTTTTACAGAAGATCAGTTTAGTGTACATTAAGTAAAGATTTCAATCGTTTGCACCCCCATAGAAACACAAAGTGAAATATACTGTTTGAGTACTCGTTATAGCATTAAGCCTCAGTGTACAGCACATTAAGGACAGAGATCCTACATGAGGAGTAAGTGCACAGTGACTCCTGTTGTTGACTTTACAAATTGACACTCCTGTTTATGGCATCAGTAATCTCCCTATGCACCAGTCATGAGTTTCCAAGGCTATGGAAGCCCCTTGAGTTCTCCGACTCTTATCTTGTTTAGACACGGTCATAGTCAAAGCGGAGGTTCTCTCCTCCCTTCAGAGAAAGGCACCTCCCTCTTTGAAGACCTGTTCTTTCCACTGGGATCTCACTCACAGAGATCTTTTTGCCAGAGTGTCTTGGCTTTCCATGCCTGAAATACTCTCATGGGCTTTTCAGCCAGATCCGAGTGCCTTTAGGGCTGATTCTGAGGCCAGAGTGCTATTTAGGACATCCGCCATTCTATGAGTCTGCTGAGTATCTCACTTCCCATGTTGGATCACTCTCCCCTTTATTTATTCTATCGGTTAGTGTTAGCAGATACTAGACTTGTTTATGTGCTCCCTTTGACTCTTAGTCCTTTCATTATGATCAATTGTGAACTGAAATTGATCACTTGGAATAGTGAGATGGCATTGGCACATGCCACCTCGATGGGATTGAATTGGAATCCCCTGGTATGTTTCCAACTCTACCAATTGGGGCAAGTCAGCCCGAGCATGCCCCAAATTATACATCTAACAGAGCAATCTTTTGAAATCCTTTTAATCATAATTTATAACAGCATAACACCAGAGATGGGTGGGGTGTTGTGGTATATCAGGTTAAGCTATCACTTGGGTCCACTACATCCCTTATTTGTGTGTGTGTGTGTCTGTGTGTGTGTGGCAGGGTTTCAAGCTCTTTAGTCATCTTCTGTTGCTTTCTCAGGTGCACTATCAGGGAGCTGTACCGGAAATGCAGCATCAGGGACTTGAAGCTGTCCTCAGGTGGGATACAGCAGGCTCCAGTTGCTGTATCACAATGCTGATTCCCCACATCCCACAATAGTGCTGGCTCACAACCTGACTATTCTGTTTCCAATCCAGCTTCCTGCTAATGCACTTGATAGTTTTTTTTTTTTTTTTAATTTATCTGACAGGTAGAGTTACAGACAGTGTGAGAGAGAGACAAAGAGAAAGGTCCTCCTTCTGTTGGTTCACTCCCCAAATGGCCACCATCCGAAGCCAGGAGCCAGGTGCTTCTTCCTGGTCTCCCATGCGGGTGCAGTTGGGCCATCCTCCACTGCCTTCCCCGGGCCACAGCAAAGAACTTGACTGGAAGAGGAGCAGCCGGAACTAGAACCCGGCGCCCACATGGAATGCTGGCACCACAAGGCGGAGGATTAACCAAGTGAGTCACGGCACCGGCCCCCTGCCAATTCACTTGGAAAGAAGCGTCTGATGACTCTAATACTTGAATTTCTGCCAATCATATAGGAGATCAGAATGGAGTTCCTGGCTCCTGGCTTCAGCCTGGGTCAGTATGGGCTGTTGGAGTATTTGGGGGAATGAACCAGTGGTAGATCTTTCTCTCTTTTCCTATTTCTCCCTCTCTCTGTCACTCTGCTTTTCAAATAAATGAATAAACAAGTTTTTAAACACACCCACACACACAACCCAACACCCACCCCCCCACACACACACCAAACTCGCTTGAGGAAAAAAGCTCTTAAACAGCAGAAAGAACAAAGACGGGCTGACCTCAGGGATCACTTGACCCAAGTATTGGAATTTCAGTGGAGCTCTGCTTCTTCATGATGGTTTCCTGTCCTCAAGCTGATTGCTTCTCCATGACAGGAAGCATGACTACAAGTAGCTATCTTTATAACAGAATAAATGGAAGAGAAATAATGTTTGCTTGTCAAATCCAGTGGGGGAAATCCCAGACAATGACTCTGATTGGCTTGATTAGGACCAGTCCTTAGGGCCAGGGAAAGGGATGCTATCATTGGCCCACATGGGTCATGTATTTTTCCTGTGACCAGGAAGATGGACCTGTTACTATTAAAAAAAAAAGGGGGGGGGAATGAATCATGTAGACAAGGATACCAGGGAGACTGTTAGCTGGGTAGTCACCCCATCTGTGTTTTCCATATTTCCTTGTTACGAACAAACAGCAACAGACGATGTTCAGGGGTGTGGTCTGGAGTGACCAGAAAGAATAAATGTAGGAGAAAAAACTGATGTTCACTAAACACTACCTGTGATACATAATATCCTGAATACTACATGTGTGACTGACTCATTTAGTCTTCACAATTGTACCATGAACTCAGCACCTTATTCTCTATTTTTTTTTTTAAAGATTTTATTTATTTATTCGAGAGGTAAAGTTACAGACAGAGAGAGGGAGAGACAGAGAGAAAGGTCTTTCATCTGCTGGTTCACTCTCGAGATGGCTATAATGGCTGGAGTTGAGCTGATCTGAAGTCAGGAGCCAGGAGCTTCTTCTGGGTCTCCCATGTGGGTGCAGGGGCCCAAGCACTTCAGCCATCTTCCACCACTTTCCCAAGAGAGCAGAGAGCTGGATCAGAAGAGGAACAGCTAGAACACGAACTGGCACCCATGTGGGATTCTGGCACAGCAGGCAGAGACTTAGCCCACTATGCCACAGTGCCAGCCATATTCTGTATATTTTAAAGAATAAATTGAGGGTCCACCTTCCCCAGAAATGAAGTGGACCCTGTTAATGCTATGGGTCATGTGACCAGAATAGAATGAATCTTCAGGTTGATGTATTGCTGGGTAACAACAGTATTTTTCAAAACAGAAACACAAATTGAGGAATATTTTACAAAATACTTGACCTACAGTCCTCAAAGTTGTGAAAGTGAGTAGAAATAAAGAAGGGCTGAGACATTTCCAAAGACCAGAGGAGACTTCAGAGTCACAGCAACTAAAACAATGTAGGCTCTTGGATTGGATCTTGGAATAGAAAAGGGGCGTGAGTGGAAAAACTAATGAAATCCAAATAAAGTCTGGAATTTAATTAAAAATAATATGCTAATGTTGGTTTCTTAGCTTTGACAAGTGCACCATGATAGTGTAATACGATAGCAACATGAGACACTGGGTAAAGGATAAATGTCTACTCTTTGTAATAGCTTTATATTTATTCTATAAATTTAAATTTATTCCAAAATAAAATCTTTATTGAAATGAAACTTTTCCTACCCCCATCCCAGTAAAACTGCTATCACATCAGAGCCTGGGGAAACCCTGCAGGTGGGGGCTTATTCTTGACCATGGTAAAGGGGTCTCTGGAATACTTGAGAGTATGTCATAGACTGCATTGTATATAAATTCACATACTGAGTGTCTAACCCTTAGTGTGATAGTATTTGGAGGGGGCCTTTGGAAGGTAACTGGACTTAGATGAGGTCATATGGGTGTGACCATTATGGGAATGCTGTTTTTAGGAGACACAGAAACACTAGAGCTCTTTCTGTCCCTCTCCAACATGGAAAGACACAATGAGAAGATGCCTTTTTAAAGGCCAACAGTAAAGACTTTACAAGCAATGGAATCAGCCAGCATCTTGGCTTTGGATTTCCTACTCCCCAGAACTGTGAGAAATGAAGGTCTGTTGTTTAAGTCCCCCAGTCTGTTGCGATTTGTTACAGCAGCCTGCACTAAGATGCAGGGAATTACAGATTTTATGTTAGATTTGAGCAAAGAAATGCAACTCTAAAACAAAATCTCAAGAGCATAAGGCAGTTGGTATTAGTTATGTCTGCTAAAATTTCAGGTTTCCCCCAGGCAAATATTTCCTCTGTGGATGCTCCGCTAATATGTTCTCCTTTCGGACTACGACATCGCTAAAGCTAACCTACCTCTGTGCCACATTCAAGTGAACAATCTACTGGTAAACCCAAACAGTGTTCAAAGTTGTTCAGTCCTTGAATAAGTTGTATGAGCTCCCACTAGGTGCTTCTTACTCACTGTCTATCCATTACTGCTCTTAATTCTCTTGATTTGGAAACATCAGAGGCTAGAGAGAGACTTACTAATTTCTTTTTTTTAAATTTTTTTAATTTAATAAATATAAATTTCCAAAGTACAACTTTTGGGTTATAGTGGCTTTTTCCCCCATAACCTCCCTCCCACCTGCAACCATCCCATCTCCAACTCCCTCTCCCATCCCATTCACATTAAGATTCATTTTCAATTATATTTATATACAGGAGATCAATTTAGTATATAGTAAGTAAAGATTTCAACAGTTTGCACCCACACAGAAACACAAAGTATAAAGTACTGTTTGAGTACTACTTATACTGTTAATTCACATAGTACAACACATTAAGAACAGAGATCCTACATGGGGAGTAAGTGCATAGTGACTCCTGTTGTTGATTTAACAATTGACACTCTTATTTATGATGTCAGTAATCACCGGAGGCTCTTGTCATGAGCTGCCAAGGCTATGGAAGCCTCTTGAGTTCGCCAACTCTGATCTTATTTAGACAAGGCCATAGTCAAAGTGGAAGTTCTCTCCTCCCTTCAGAGAAAGGTACCTCCTTCTTTGATGGCCCGTTCTTTCCATTGGGATCTCACTCACAGATATCTTTCATTTAGGGTTTTTTTTTTTTTTCTACAGTGAGACTTACTAATTTCTAATGATGACTCTTCTCAAATGTGCCACTGGATAGTTCACTAAAAATGTAGACTAACCACCCATTATAGCCTCACAGATGATACAAACTACACAACTCATTGGCTGTCTTTTGGTTCTTCATTTCTACAAAGGGCTTCATATTTCTCACATATGTTTATTAGTCTGCTACAGGATGTAGGATCAAAAGAGAAAATAGTGTGAAGATTTAGTCCTGACTAATTGAGAGGAGAAGTAAAATTTTCTGGATGTATATAACTAGTCCTCCTCTTCCCAGAGTGAAATGGAGGGTCTCACATAAGGTTGAAAAACACACAGGTTTCAGAACTAGAAATAGACAAGTAGTCTTGGTTTTCCAGGGATTGAGGAGTTTCCTATTTGAAAAACCCTAAGAGCTAAAATTTGGATATTTCCAGGAAAACTGTGATAATTGGTCATCTGGATGGAAGGGATCTTAAAGTTATGTTCTGAGACAAAGACAAAGAAATATATTCTCTCCTCTATGAGAATGTGTATGGCAAGTGTGTTTTCAGGAAGCCAAGGGATATAATTTTCAGAGATGAACTTGAACAGGACAGTGGGGGAGAGATGAGGCTGATCCTACAGCTTGAAGTTAGAATACCTGTGTGTAAATACCACCCATGCTGCATCACAGCTAAGAAAAGCCGGATAAATGATCCACCTTTTCGACTTCATCTGCAAAATATGACTACTGCTCTTGTATTTCCCTCGTAGCTTTGTCCTGAGTGTTAAAATAAATAACAGAGGTGAGGCTGGCACTGTGGTGCACTGGGTTAAGGTCCCAGTCTGCAGCGGCAGCATCCCATATGGGAGCCAGTTTGAGTCCCGGCTGCTCCTCTTCTGATCCTGCTCTCGGCAGAAGATGGCCCAAGTACTTGGGCTCCTGCACCCACGTGGGAGACCCAGAAGCGCCTCCTGGCTCTTGGCTTAGGATCACCTCAGCTCTGGCCGTTACAGTCATTTGGGGAGAGAGCCAGAGGAATGGAAGACCTCTCTCTCTCTCTACCTCTGACTCTACCTTTCTCTGTAATTATGTCTTTCAAATAAATAAAATAAATCTTAAAAAAATAACAGAAATAAAGTTCTTAGTTTTCTCTTTAGTGTATAAAAATGCTAAATAACGTTACCTGTTATGAGTGCTGTGATACTTTTTATTCCTAGTTCTGCCACTTACATGGCCCAGATAGTTGCAACTTCCTCATCTGTAAATGAGTTAACTGCACCTACCTTGTTAATGGCTTTGGGGGATTTGCTGAGATAAAGCAAGTGTAAATTAGACATGCAGTAACTGCAGGCTGCTTTCTCATTTTTTGAGTGGTTCAGGGCTGTCATTTTTCTTATCTCATATCTAATCCCCTTAGTGAAGAGACAACAGCATTCATAAGGTCACTTCACAAAATTGGTGGACAAAAAAAAAAAAAAGATAAGTTTATTTTGGTGCAATTTTTGAAATCCATGCATAGTTTTTTCATAATGCACCTTGTTGATGAAATTATGTTTAAGATTTTATTATTTATTTAGAAGAGTGACAGAGATGTGGGGAAAGACAGAGAGACAGATCTTCTGTCTACTGGTTTACTCCCCAAATGGCTGCAACAACCAGGTCTGGGCCAGGCCAAAGCCAAAGCCTGGGACTCAATCCAGGACTCCCACATTAGTGGCAGGGGCTTCCTTGCTGCCTTCTCAGGCACACCAGCAGGGAGCTGGATAGGAAACAGAGCAGTGAGGACTTGAATCGGCACTCGCATAATGAATGCTGGAGTCACAAACAGGCTGAAAATGCTGAGCAATAACACTGGCCCCTTCCATGAACTTTTTGAAGCACCTTCTCACAAACTGTTTCTTAATCTTTGCTATGCCATTATTAGATTCTTTATTTAATGGCATTTTCTTTTATTAAAAAGATGCAATTTCTTGGAAGGCTGAGAATTGGCTCCAGAGGCAGCTATTCAAAAGAATGTCAGTCATGTTTTGACAGATGGATTCATCATTGGGAGAACTATACAATTTCCTTAATTATGCATTCTGTAACCCACATGCTGGCTTTGTTCTCAGACTTCAGTTCTAGTTCATTTCCAAATATATCCACTCACGGACAATCCTTGCTGCACATGGAGGATTTTCTTGGCCACAGTGAAGTAGGGGCACCATGCACTGTTCATTACAAACTCCTTCAAGTTTTTCTTCTGCTGCTTTTCTTCCCTTCTGTAGGCTTCCTTTGTCCCCAT